GCATGTATAATGGGAAACCAAATATATACATTTTATTTTTTTTGTTTTCAGGATATATTTGAGATGGAAGAAGGTGCCATTAAACCTGGTCAAAATGTTATTATTGTAGATGATCTTATCGCTACAGGTGTTAATCCACTTTTTAAGGACTCCTAATGTCATTCGATATTTATGTACAAATTATTAAACTATTTAATTGTCGTTTAGGTGGAACAGCAAACGCGGCGGGAAAGCTTGTAGAAACAAGCGGAGGGAAAGTTTTGGAATATGTTTTCGTAATTGAGTTATTGGAATTAAACGGAAAATCAAATCTTAGCGCTCCTATCTATTCGATCATTAAGTTCTAAGATATTAACGTACTCTTAGCCCTTTCATAAAAATTGCAATGAATAAGTTTAACATCAAGACGCAAAATTCCTTGGTATAAATATAAAATACTCTTATTATCAAAAGCAATAAATCTTTAAAGACATTAATACATTGTTTTTATATAAATTTATAATGTCAAAGTCTATTAATATATAATATATTCTTGCTAATTACGTGGTCATATTGCATATCCAGATTCTTTTACTTAAATTTTGTTCTTAGGAAACCTTTCTAATAAAGGAAATATATTACAAAATAATATTTTAACTGATGAAATTACTGTATATTGCGTTGTTGTTTTTAAAGAAAAATGGTATTTATACAATTATGTGTGTTAATAAACATTCATAGTTAGAGTGTGTTAGCATCAGTATTGGTATTCACAAATACCAAAAGCGTCGAGCGTTTCGTTTGAGATTGGTAATTCGTCACCGGCCTCGGAAATGTTCGTTGTGAATGCGGTGGCATCAACTGATAAAAGATTTTCTACGGGAAATTGAAGTTTCCAGAAATTCGCAGATTCTTGAGAATCGGTGTTGATACTTTGTTCTTCAGTTTGAAAAGGACTATATGAAGGGTGAGTTCCCTGGGACGCCAATAATCTCTCCAAATCCGGGGATATGCTATCATCGATAGTTGGAAAATCCGGGGAGAAATTAAAGTTGGCAGCTGAAAAATCTGAAGAAAAGCTATTGTTGATAGCCGAAAATTCGGGACTCGGGTAAGTGAATCTAACGGCCAATAAATCGTCATTTAATTGCTCCAAAGTAGATGACGAGACTGTGCTAAATAAATCTGAAGATGAGAAGT